AAAACACATTGGACTTGATGTGAAGTTTCCATTGCGTTAAAAATTGCAAATGTGTTTTTCCTCCAAATCAATTAAAATTGAACAGGGTTTAAGAACAAGGTACATGGCATAATGGCATGTTTGATGTCATGGCAGTTTATATTACATGCTGATTTTTGCAAAATGTACTCTAGTTAGACCTCATCACATCAAAAATTGTGGCACTGGTCATGACAATTAACAGTAACAGTAACATAACACTCTTTTATTACTGGACACAATCTGTTATGACAACTCATGACAGCATATAACAACATTTATGGCATGGTTAGGTCAATGTCAAATAGTCATATGCATAAGTGTGGGCACCCCTGCTCAAATTACGTTTTGGTTTGTTTTATAAGTTGTTTTTAAAGTGATATATTGAGAAAAAAGAGCGTAAAATATGGCCTGTACAAAAGTTATAGGACATTTTATATTTTAACTTTTTTCCAATATGTTAAACTTAACAAATAAACTAGAAACTGTGTGCTACAATTAGCAGAAAAATGTCTTAGGTGTGTTCTCTGTAGGAGATGTGTTAGCTTATTTTTTACGTTGACCAAGTGTGTTCAAATTTTTGCATGTGACTGTTGTAGCAGTGCTCAAGTAAAGTGTTATTAGATATCTTTTTGTCTCTTAAAGTCATTCTACCTTTTTGTCCAGTTTTTTCCCCCAAAAAAATTGCATCCAGTGTGTATAGTTTTGTTGCAATGAAAAATATCTTAATATTTTGTATTTTCACGCCGTCTATTCATGTTCCATTCAGTATGTGACCTTTACTCTACACTGAAGTGTCTGATGAATTTGGGCTCAGAACTCTGATAACTGTTAAACTCACAACACCGTTAAAAATGAAAATCAACTCAGCTTAAAATGATAAGATAACTGATTACACAGCTTTTCTTGACTTAACACAGGAGTTTACTCAACTCAAACTTCTCGTTCAGTCAAGAGTTTCTTATTCTTTTAGTTCTGCTTCTTATTTTGGTAAATAATGTAGAATTTCCCCTGTACTCTTTCCAACACACAGTCCTATGGGGTGTTTTCTCCTCTTACCCACTTATGGATGACTACGTGATCTCCTGTTGGGGTGATAGTTTAGTCTGTTGCACAGCTCAGGATCACCTGAATATGCTCAGATATCGTATCCGCAAATGTTTAACACGCTGTAGAAAATATTTGTTGTATTTAATATTGAAAAGCAGCATGGTCACACGTGGTGCAACTGTCTAATGATCTAATATTTAAACATCCCAACATCAGGAGCTTGTGAGTCTGAAATCCAGCAAAGCCACAGCTGTCCATATGTGGAAGCCCAAGAGGAGATGTGATGTTAAGAGTCCCAGCTAGTGTCAAAATTGAGTGAAAAATAAATTCTGTGTTGTTTACCTAATTGAGATGCGGAACTAGAAAAAAAGAGAGTTGGGAGAACTTTTGACTGGACTAAGAAGTTTGAGTTGGGTGAACTTTAGTGTCTTCAAGTTGGGTTAACTCAGGAAAAGCAGTGTAATCACTTTCCTAATGATTTTAAGTTGAGCTGACTTCTCATTTTTACAGTGTGGGGTTTTTCAGCAGACAGTAAGAATATGGCACCATTTTGCTGTCTGGGATGGAACGTCTGTCAATCTGTCATATTTTCCCCAATTTAGATTGATTGACATCAATCTGTCAGATTTTCAGCATGTTTTCCTCAGGCAGCTGTAGAAGAAGAAGAAGAAATGCTGTTTTTTAGTCTCTCTGCCTGTCTCCCTGGAATGACTAACGGCTGGTAGAGAATACTGATGTATAGATGTTGAAGGGCAATTCCCCTGATTCTTCAACAGTTTGACATAATTAAATGGTTAAGATGTAAACAAAGTCATTCAAAGAAGTCTTATGTGAAATGATCTGCTCTAGAGAGACTTACTGAGTCGTGGTAGTGATAGGAACCAGACATCTGAACAGTTTAATGCTTGTAAAAGCTCTCTCATAGAAAGATATTATGTGAAATAGTTCTAAATACACTGCCTGCTGTCTGAGATTTGTACATCCCAGAATAAACTTACTGGAAAGTTTGATAAGACAAAGAAGGAGAGACTTAAACATTATTTGGAGAATAATTGTTTGGAGAGTAATTGTAAGTAAAAGACTTTTTGGCCCCAGACAAGATTTGACCACTAGAGCTAGTCAGGCACACTTGACCAGCCAAACCCTGCCGACTGTGTGGGAAATGGTTTGACAACTGCTATGAGACCTTTTAAACAGTGTAGACTGAAATATTATAAGCTAGGCACCAAGATATTTTAAGGCAGTTCCTTTAATATTTCAGGTTTTGAGAACACTAAGAGTTAAATGATAAATAATATAATGTAATAATCATCTGTTAATAGAAGTTATCCGCCTGAAATTAGATCACCACTTTTCAAATATGAGACATTCTGGAAATAATAATAATTTATAGTAATAATAGCAAAAAAGAAACCCTGTTCTATGCGTATGGGTGTATGTTATTAATATGTATATGTATGTATCATAGGGCATATTATGAGTGAATCAATGAAAAAGCCCCCATTAAGCGTCTTCAGTGCTTGGCCCCCTAAAGCAGTAAGGGGTTAGAATATTGAGTCTGATGGCTGCTAGAAGGTGTGAATTTAAACCCGAAGGGGACAGACGTCAGAAGGCTGTCACTTTAAATTCACAGCTTTAAATTTGCCGTGCCTTTTTAAAATGCGCGAGAGCACAGTCAGCCGGGAATGAGGGTTTTTTTTTCAGCTCTAAAAGCTGTCTCCGCTTTAAAAAGTGCTCTGCATCACCGCTAGAAAGGAGCTGTGGAGATTTCAGAGTATTTTTTTAAACCAGTTTCTGACTGTCATTCTGTACCAGACTTTTAGACCGTGACAGTTTTATTATGCCATCAGAAATGTGCTCTTTTCTGAAGTTCAACTGTCACCGACTTCAAAATATAATTCCCTTTCACACACAGTGATCAGAAGGCCTCTACCAGCAGCAGGATTGATTCCACTCGCTCCGAAGGTTGTATTCCGCTCGCTCCGAAGGTTGTAATGAGAAAGTCTCTCATTATATTTGTAGTGTAAGTTCTCATTAAGCCAAGCACGTGCTGGCGGCTGAGCTAAGTAGAAATTAATGGCCCTTTGCTCTAAAATTTAATTGGACGTTTGTCACGTTCCAAAATAACTGCAGCACTAAAAAAACAGTAAAGCAGTTCCTGTTGTGTGCTATATTCAAGAGTTCACATCCAGCTTTTACCTTTCAATGCCAAGACAAAAAAACATCTTTTTCTAATGTTTAAAGGGGGAATTCCATGATTTTTCACAATTCCTGTGTAATTTGGTCTTTAAGATATAGGCAGAGTCATTCAAAGTGGTTGATTTAAAAAGCACCATTCTAAAGTCAGAACTGTTCACAGTGGTGGTGATAAAAAAAAGCTCCCTCACAGAAAGTTATTACATGACTGTAGCAGTGTGAGGTAGATATTAAAAACTACCAAACCATAGCCAGAACAACCTCACCTTACCAAAATCCAAACAATACCAAAAACTGCCGAACCACAGCAATAACAACCTCACCTTGCCAAAAACAACCAAACCATGTGAAAAACTGCCATCCCTAGCAAGAACAACCAAACCATATCAAAAACCAAACCATACCAAAAACTACCAAACTACAGCAAGAACAACCAAACTGTAGCAAAAACAACCAAACCATACCAGAAACTGCCAAACCATAGCAAGAACAGCCAAACCTTACCAATAACCAAACCATACCAAAAACTACCGAACCACAGCAAGAACCAAACCATACCTAAAACCAAACCATAGCAAGAACAAGCAAACCATACCAAAAACACCCAAATCTTACCAAAAACTGTCAAATCATAGCAAGGATAACCAAACCATACCAAAACCTACATACCAAAGCTGCCAAACTGTAGCAAAAACAACAAAACCATACTAAAAACTGCTAAAACATAGCGAAAACAAAGTAGGTTCTGGCAAAGAATGAGGTGTCTGACCAGAAAGCATGTCTATTTTGCGGTTTAAGCAGACACAACAGGCAACATGGTGGTACAGCATAGTGAAGCGAGTGACTGGAGAAAGGTGCTGTAAGAGGATCCTCAGTCTTTCATCGTAAGGACCCTGTGGTCCGTATTTCACAGCTTTTTTCTGCGGGCACTAAAGAGGTGCTCAGATGTGTGCTGATGGTGCAAGAAAGTGGTTATTTTGTAAATATTTTGTGTACCCCCATCCTAATATTAATATTTGTAACATTGGCAATGGTAAATCAAGCCTGCTGCCTAACTAACAACATGCCCTTGGCAGTATGTCCTTGGCAACGTACTTATGTTAAAGCCATCATTTTGGAGCAGCAAAGTTTAATATAATACATTTATCTGCAAATATGAGCAAAACTGTCACATTTTACAGTCCTCCTGTCTTCCTGTGATGAAAAGAAAACCTGAATAGTGATTTCAAACTAGCAAAAAGTGCCTTTTAGTTTATTCTTCTCATTTAATAAAACAATTTCTCAACACTGCTGTTGCATTTAATTGTGCATCGAGTATCATCTAACAAAGCCCAAAATTCATACATTTTTTATTTTGTTTGAGTCCTTTTTAAACAAGCAAACTCATGAGTAGGAATATAGTTCACACTTCACTGCCCTTTTATTATGGGTTACCCCTCAGGCAGATGGCTAATGTAAAAAATGAAAATGTAGAGAAATTAGAAAATTACAGTACACTACTTATTTAATGACTTTTTGCTGTTTCAAAAACCTTGAAATATTGAAATCTTACAACACATTTAAGAAAAACCTTATTATGCACAGATTTAAAAAGTGGTAATGGGAAAAAAATATGGAACGTAACTGTTCACTGTAGCAATCTTGATTTCAAACAAGATTTTCAACTAAACGAGAAAGACAAAGACCACAGACCAGACTGACCTAACCTTTGACCCTTTTTTGTATTGTGTCCTCAGAGCGTGGAGGGAGAGCACCATGAGAAAGCAGTGGAGCTGCTGAAAGCCGCTAAGGACAGCGTGAAGTTGGTGGTTCGCTACACCCCAAAGGTCTTGGAGGAGATGGAGGCTCGCTTTGAGAAGCTCCGCACGGCCCGCAGGCGCCAGCAACAGCAGCTACTGATGCAGCAGCAGCAGCAGCAGCAAAACCTCAACACTCAGCAGAACCACATGTCGTAGGTGAGGCTTTTCATTGCTTTAAAGTGATAGTTCAGCAAAAGGTCAAGTCCACACGATTTTCCCCCATACCTCGAATTTAGTTGATCATCCAAGACGAAGTTTTAGCACTGGAGCTAATTAGCACCAAACTGCTTGCATACATCTTCACACACTTACATCAAACTGTATACATATGTCTGTGTAATTAACTTATATAGACAATATTTGTCTGTTTGAGATTATGTAACAACTCAACACGGTTTAAGGCAAGTCCATGATAGTTTAGGCATGCAGTTTGTACAGTGCTAATCAATGTACTTCCATGACTTACTTTGTAGCTTAACTGCAAAACTAAAGAAGCAAACTTCAGACACTGAACATGTCTTGGTTGATTGGCCAGATTTGGGTTAAGGGGGGGAATTGTGTAAATTAGATTTTTTGCTGAGCTATTGCTTTAATGTCCCCTGGAGGGCCCAAAGCTGGCCCTTATCCCTATGGCCAGGAGGGGGCACCAGAGGGCTTGCATGGTCTGGAGCCACACGGTGCCCGCCACCAGAAGATTATGAGAGACGTGCTGTGTTTGGCACAGAGTGCCATTGTGTTCAGCCTGTATTATGCAGTCACACTGTATGTTGATGTTTCAGCTGCAGTCAGCACTTGGCTTTGTAGGACTGATTACGTCACACAGAGGGCACATTTATATGGACATAATTACTGGACATTCATACCACAGTTAGGTCCCAGCTCACAGTGTGATCGACTGAGAGGCATTATATAAGTGCCAAGAGACCTCTGGAGTCTTGCATCATTCAGTAGTTAGCGTCATGCCCATATCAGAATCTATGGGCTGCTATCATGATATGTTTCAAAGCTAATACATTCTGCTGTAGAGACATTTATCCTCTAAATGTCACTGGATACTGAACAACGAGCCTGCTAAGGAGCCAAAATACGACTATTGCTACTTGCAGTCATTTAGCAGTTAAAATATGAAATGTTACATAGATGCTTCAAGCAAGCTAACACCATTATATACCAACCTATATACCAATCAGCCAATCAAACTGTAGCCTAAAACTGCCAAAAACACTGCTTCACACTGAGTTTACGTCAAAGAACTGCCGACCAGCAAGCTTTATCAAATCTGGTAGTTTAGAGGCTTTTGGCAGTTTTAGGCTACAGTTTGATTGGCTGATTGGTATATAATGGTGTTAGCTTGCTTGAAGCATGTATGTAACATTTCATATTTTAACTGCTAAATGACTTTGTAATTTGGAGGATCCAGTGACATTGAGGGTCAAAAATGTACACAGGACTAAACGTATTAGCTTTGGTGCATTTTAGTTCCCTACAGGACGTGACAGTGGCGATTTTAAAAAATGCCGTTTATTAGAGAAAACCAGCTTAGACCTGGAGCTCCTAATATGGGCATGACTCTGACTGCAGAATGACAATCGACTTTAGAGGTCTATATGTCCTAATAATGATAATTAATCTCTTTAAGTATCACTCTAACTTATTTGCCTGTAATCTCGCAACGACAACTAGCGGTTAAAAACTGACAGCCAGACCAAAGTAACAAGTTTTGCTATCCCTGAAAGTAAAGCTGCCAGCCCACTGGATTTTTGCTCAGCATTTTCCAGGCAGCCCACTGGTGGTTGAGCAGAGTATTAGACAAAATGCCACTTTTAATTGCTCATTTTCCCCTCATAGTCCAATTTACCCATTTTTCTTCATTTCTTTCTTTTGTTATCCTTTGTAAATTTCAGCAGCAATATCATAAATGAAGCCGGTTAAAAAGCTGTTACCAGTGTGGCACAGTGTCAGCAACAACGTTTAAAAACAAAAAAAACATTTTATATTAGGCCTAGTCATTAATTTTTTTCTCTCAATTGTTTGTGATATTATTATTACATTTGCCTTAGTTTATTTTCCAAAATAAAAGGCTGCATGCATTTGACATCTGTGTGCAGGACAACAATCTGGGTGGTCCAAGGGTGAACCAGCAGTGCAATACAGTTAGCGGGGTGCCAACTTTATCAAGCCAGCGGACTGATATATGCTTGCTATCTGGGATAGTAACCTAAACGACACAGTTCATCAGGAAATTGCTAGATTTCTGGAAGTTTTGAATATTAATACCGTTAAACTGTTTTCTTCTTGCTGTCAGCTGCTAATATTGCATTTAAATGTGTTACAGAAATGTTATGTGTCACTAGTCTCTGTTCAGTTTTTATGTCATAAATGTCTCGAGATCTAATAATAAATATGAGTAATGAAACTGTGGTATAATCACAGTAATACACTGGAGGTCAGGTGATATTGGCACTGCTGTGCTGATCTACTCAGCCTGTCAATATCTCATTGTAGAGCACTCCCTTCTCTTGTATTGTTGGATAATAGTATTTATACTGTACAAAGTTTGGACACACCTGATTGAATGTTCTTCATTCAGGCTACGTTCACATTACCGAGTTGAAGTGATGCAAATCCGATTTTTTTGCCGTATGATGATGCGGAGAGTAATGTGATGGATGTTTTAAGAGCTGTATGGACACACATCTGATCTCAGATTTGAGACACTTTTATATGTGGTCCTAGATCAGATACATATCTGACCACTGGCCATGCGACCTTAATGAGAACGCTCAGTTCAGAATTCATGTTTTTTCACCACTGCGCATGTGCCATCATTCAGTGTTAACGTGGCAGCAGCATCAAACCTGAAGTTAGAGCCAGTAAACAGTGCAAAAGCAAAGAAATCTGATCCTTTATCACCTTCGTCTTGCTGTAATAATGACCAGCTGAGAGCTGCTCAGAGCAGATGATCTTTGTGACAAAGCTTGTTCTGCTGGTCAGTTTGTTGTTCATGACGCACGTGTTCATTCACGTAACATTATTGATTACAATGTGTGCATGTGGGTCGTTTCAGGACACAGGTTCATTCACATTAATGACAGATTTGAGTCATTTACCTACACTGATGTGAAATATCAAGTTAGAAAGACTAGATCTGGGCAAAAAATCAGAATTGAGCAACACGGCTTGTAATGTCACTGTAGCCTTTGATCTAAAACACACATTAGTGGAATGACCTTCCTCGGAAATTCTTACCAGCCAATCAGGGATGTTGTGGTAAGGGAGGGCGGGTATCATATTTTGTATTTCTGACTGGAGTAATTTCCTATGAGCTCATAGGTTCATAGTTTTAATGTCTTCATTGTTATTCTTCATTTAATAAGATCAGGTTTTGAGCAGGAGCCACATGGATGGCACTTATTAAGTCAGATAGTAAGAATGTTTTGCGTCCACTTACTCTTAAACCTCTACTTCTCACTGTACATTGGTCATTTTGTGGTTGCATGGTTGATAATAATTCAAGATATCTTCAACAAAAAATATAACTACAGTTTCTCTCATCTGATATTCTGGAAAACGTTCGGTGATGCTCCATTATTGTGGAAATCAGGCACAAGATGCTAACTTCCTTCCTAATTAGGGTGACCAACAAGGGTCAAACAAACAAAACAGTGTCCCACATTTCAAAGATTGTGGGGAGATTATTAAAATATGTTTCAGCTTTCATTTTTTAAATTGTAATTTTAAATATGATTGTTGGTGGTGGAGTCAGTGGAGGATTGTCTGGCTGGAGAAAACAAAGAAAGCAATTAAATAGCTACACGCAGGCAACTGCTAATAAATAAGGAGAATTATAGGCTTTTTTAAAGGTTCTGCATATAACAAAAAGGATTAAGCCAAGTCCTGGTCTTAATTGTCTTTTATATGGTGAATCTCCAGTCAGAATCCTGTGTAGTTCAGGATTAACCTTTATCCCTGTCCAGAAAACCAATTCTCTGTGTCCAAGAAAGAGCAAACATCATTTTTTCATCCAGGCCTCAATGCCTACAACCACAGTTCAGTAGGACTGTGGATACACTAAAGCAGACAAACCTGACCCCAGAACAGACCCCGGACAGCCTATAATGAAATTGTAACCACTGCCCTGTGGAGAGGGAAAGTACAGAGCTACGCCCCCTGCTGGTTATGTTAATAATATTTTGAATCGTATTTTGACAATGATTAAAAATCACTTAAGGCTGGAAATTTTGAGACCCATTTTCTAACTGAATAAACACAGCAGCTATGAATAAGAATCATTTCAGAATAAATAATCAATTTAACTATGAACATTAAAATATGATTGAACTACAAAACACGTAGCTCACTGCCAGTGTGGCTTTGTTAAACGTGTGGTGATGCTGTCATCCATGCGACTGACTTTGTAGTCTGTTTTTGGCCTTTTACTGTCAGTGTACTCTGACAAACCTAAGATATCAATCCACTGGTCATGTTTATGTGTCTTCTTTAACTGATTAAAACTTCCCCCAGAGTAGCTGGTGAACATGCACATCCATGTTGGTCAGTAAAATAGATCAGTATGAGGAATTGGAGTTTTCTATCTCTGTATAAAATGAGCTCCATGCTGCCTTTATTGTTGGATGCACTGTGATGGTTTCTGAGAGAGCATGCTCCACATTCAGAATGCAATACACATCACCATGGAAATGCTTGTTATTGATTTGTTTCAGAGCAACAACAAAAGCCCACTGAAATGTGAAGTCTATTTCTATTCATGTGTTGAAAATATATATTACATGTGACAGTAAATGTGGCAATGAGAAATCATGTCATTGAAGGAGAAGAGTTGATTTAAAGGCTTAAATAGGTGCTTTTTTTGCATTGACCTTAAAGTGTTTTTCATTTGGAACATCAAATATTACTGAATATGGCTGCGACAAGGCAAGTCATGTTGCACAGTGTGTAATGTGTCCGTTGTAAATCTCCTTTTCGAACACAAACAGCAAATCGGACGACTTACCTTGCCTATAGGCAGTGTATATAAGGAATTCACTGGCTTTAGCAGCTTTAGCAGCATTTCCCAAAAGAAATTTCACCCCAGAGGCAGCGAAGTCTCTCTGGGTTTGAGCTGTAATCCTCTGATACTGCTGTAGGCCGTGTCGTCACGGAGAGGCTGTGTGAGAAATATTATGTAATAAAATGGAGAATGTAGCACACACACAAAGTGCACGCTCAAACAGAGCCACACACACTCACACCTCTAAAACATGGACGCAGTCATATATACACAGTGGCATACACATGTCAAATACACTGACAAAGCTCTACAGTTGATTATAAAAGCGGCCTCTATTATTAACCACCTGACAGCACAGCTTGTCAAGGCCACGTTTTAAACTCAGCCTAATGTAATACTACTAAAACTTAAAGGAGTAGTTTGGCAAAAATCCTCAATAGTCAAATCTTTTTTCTGCCCAATCTAGTCATTGCTACTTCCACATGTTTTTCCAATCTGTATACCTAAAGTATCACACACTTGCCTCAAACTGTGTCATGTTGTTGAGTAATCTCCAATAGATTGCTTATGTTGTTTTGTCCACATTTATAGATGACTATGCCACAGAGCTGAAAACAGTAGTACCTAGGGGTGTAACAATACACGTATTTTAGGTTCGGATTTCTATTCTGAGGTCAGAATTTGATTTGACTCTGATGTTTTATGTGTTAATTTTAAGTTTTTTTTGTTAATGAATGTTTATTGGTTTTTGATAATGCACAGACACATTTAGAATATGACACATGAACTGCAATGTTTTTGATTCTACAGAGCTCCAGTTCTATTGGATGTAGATTGGTTTGGCTCGGTTAAATAACAGCTCTCCAAAATAACTTTTTCAACACCTGCTGCACTGCCCAGAGTAAGCATGAAAGATCACAATCTCTAGAGTTAATAAAGCTCAACAGGTATTTGCGTATGGATGTAGCCATAGCATACACCTCGCCCCCTGCTCACTTTACTCTTACAGTTTGCACACAGATGCCTAGTTTTGATCATTTTGAGTTTTCCATGAAAGATGGCAAATGAGACACACTCAGAAAAGTTTTGAACACACGGTTTCAAATATTCTTTTTTATTTTATTATTCAATACAGGACTGAAATCATTACACCTTAAGCAATATCCAGAGTCATCACTAGAGATTTATAGATGAAAAGGGCTAAGCCTTTATAACACTATTTTTGCATTCAACTCCAGTTTTATTTGAACTGACCTGACTGGCCATCAGCAAAGCTGAAACCTCTTTTAAAGAAGTTTTCTATGTTCCATCTACAGATTGAGAAGTTAAGGGATGTAAAATTGCATTATGATTAACACTGTGTTAACTTGCTGTTAACTGATATTAACTTGCTGTAAAGTTAAGTTAAAGTTTTCAAACCGGTCCTCAGGGACCCCAGATGCTCCACATTATTTACAAGTTAGGTTGGAGCAACAATCTTGACCATCTGGGGCTTCCTAAGGACTGGTTTGAGAACCACTGCTGTGAGAGATACAAGAGCAAATAATATAAACTTATCAGTAACCTTATTTTTATCTTTTTCACTCGTTCACACATCTCACAGTCTGTGAAGTTTCCTAAAATAGTTGGCTCATCACCTAGTTAACATTGGTGTTATAAAATTAGCAGTTGGTATGGTTAGTATAGTGTAGTGGGTAACACCCCTGTCTGCCTTGTGGCAGACTGGGATTCAATCCCCTGCCTGGGCAAGCACTCTACACTATACCAATAAGAGTCCTTAGGCAAGACTCCTAACACTACCTTTACCTATCTTTGTGAAATTCACAAATTGTACATCTCTCTGGATGAAGGCATCTGCTAAATGCCTCAAATGTAAACGTTATATGGCCTGTCCCCTTTTCTGTACCTCATATAAACCTGAAGTCATGTTTATATGCTAGCTAGTTATACTGACCATAATTTGCCACAATTTTAAACTGTAGCTAGGTATCTTCACTCTGTAACTATTTACTGCTTCACTCTGTATATCGTCACTGTCCAAGGAAAACATGTATCTCCATTGTTCTCTATTTTTATTTTTCACTAAATCATTTGAACACCGCAAATGTGTGAAAATTTCATGATGAATGGACCAACTGAAATGCTTTAAAACCTTTTTTACATTGACTTACATGAAAATGAAATGAGAAATGAAAAGTATTGCCTGCACACTGCTGCAAAGTCAGACATGTCTAGCAAAGATATATATATATATATATATATATATATATATATATATATATATATTCTTTTAAACAAAAAGCCAGACACAAACCAAGCAAACATTTCAGCTTCTTGCTATCAGCACTATGAGCTGATAATAACAAGGAGCTGAAACGTTAGCTTGGTTTGTGTCTGGCTTTTTGTACTCAATTTAATGGAATAAACATATATCTCGGTTAGACTTGTCTGACTTTTCAGCAGTGTGCAGGCAATACTTTTCCCACACCATTTTCCTTCAGTTTTTTTTTACATTACACACTTTGTACATTTATGTAGCGTAATGATAATCTTCATTCTTCACATTGACTTATATTAAACATGAAGAATGTTTTTTTTTCCTTCTCCTATAAAGTTACTGTTTTGGAGATACATTGTTTTTCTTTGGACAGCAACGACATTTATTGAATTAGCTAGTGTTTTAGTAAACTTTTAGCCAGCATCTCAATTTTGCTGACTGACATCGTACTCACGTTGCAAAGTGGGCAGCAGGGATGTGGGAAGTGGGGTGCTGAGGGGGCTGCAGCACCCCCTTATTTCAGGACTGCAATTGTTAATAATAATTATAAAACAATCTGGACTTTATAGTAATTTGAGCTTAATAAAGACTGGTGTACTTGTTTAAGAGTGGAGTTGGTGTTTTATATATTTTTTAAATCTGCAGTTATATCTCCCATTCTAACAATGCTAAATTTTTAGATTTAGATTTAGCTAAGTAATAAATTTCATTTCAGGGTTAAATCTCAGTGTGTGACTGTGGGCATGACACAATCAGTTACCCTGCCAACAATTACCAACAATCTGATTGGTCACTCAGCTCATTTGCATAAAGCTTGTCCAGAATGAAAGAACAGAGAGAGGATGTGAGGCAGAGGTCTGATGTATCAGTTATATGTGTATATTCTCATCTCTTACCTCATTGCATGACACGTTCTGTTTAATGTAAAAAAAAAGTTAAAAAAAAACAAAAACGAATAAAAAGACGAATCATTTTGCATGACATAATCGCTTATGTCACATATACGCTGCTTAAAATTTCAGGAACCCCAACTTAAAACACCTTCCTGGCAGGCATAGTGGCTCTGGATTAGAGCAGCAGCTGCCTCCCCCAGGTCCTAGTGCTCTGCTATCACAGTATATTGTACTTGAATTTGGAGACGCAATAACACAGTTGAATAAACAATGCATGAATTAATGATAAAAAACTATTGATGGTATAAAGAAGTTATGTTCCTATTTAGGGTGGCTAAAGAACATTTAGTGGGTGACCAAAGAGAGTGGGAGACCCCCCTAAATCTGGCCAAGTGGTGACTCTGGAAATATCATCCAAGTCTGAATTTTGTCTGTAAACGTCAGCCTTGTGAGACTCTTTGAATCTCAACCTGATTGTCTTTTAGTGGCGCACCGACAAAGTGCCCAACGGTTGGTGAGGACATACTTTAATGAACTTCCTTTCATGAAAATACTGTTGATCTTAAAAATATATAAATAAAATAGAAAAGTATAAACCTCATTAAATGTAAACCCCTCTATAACAAGCACACATGGGTCTGTATGATGTAAAATTATTGTAAAGTCTTATAAAAGTCAGATTGCCCTATAATTATAATTTTAAGCAGTTGTATTCCTGAAATGACTTAGTGTGTTGGATTTCCCTTGAGTGAAACATTTAGGAGTCCAGCTGTTTCCTTAGCTGACAGCCAGGTTTCGCTCTTAAGTCTCTCAGCTTTTGTCCCTTCGGTGCTTTGCAGGTTGTTCCAGAAGAAGAAGAAATAGAGGATTCGGAGTGAGCTCTGCTAGAACTCAAATCCGGCGACCTGCAGCCATCCAGCAGAAGAGAAAGGAGGGTCATGCTGTTTTCCAACGAAGACCACCCCTCGTTCAGTGTACTACCTACAGCTTTACAAAGGTCGACAAACCTCTATGATCCGTGTCCTGAAACGTATACACATTGGTGCTTGGTTTTGGAAAAGACGACAGCGCGAGAGAGAGAGAGCACTTGTTTTATCTTTTCGTTGTTAACTTTTTAGTTCCTTCTCAGCCAGTTGCAAGTTGTGACCCTCTCCAAAGAAAGTCCTTCTCGTAGTTTGTGACGCCGTATTTACTTGTGTTCAACTGAATTTGTTGACAGACCTTTTTTTTTTACGTTTTCCCATTGCCACAGCTTTGTACAATAACCTCTTGACGGATTCTTCGGTGCTTGTGTCTGTGCGAAAGAAAATTGCTTTTTGTGTCAAACGTGTCCTTGATTGGATAAAAGTGAGGTATTTTATACCATATTGTAGCAAGGAATATTTTGTATAAACAAGGTAGATTTAGCAATAACACACTTAAGTTGGTTTTACATGCGTCATTGTTAAATTCTGGGGAAATTTAAAGGAATATAAAGGACACAGAAGCTTATGATGGTAGTGCTGTGGTCCTTTAAAGGATCGCTTGCCCGGAAATGCTAACATGGCTAGCAACGAGTGCAAGCTAGCAGAACAGGGAACAAAAGGCAGCAGCTAGCTTCCTAGCTATGTACTAGCTAACGGCCAACTTTTCATGCTCTGCTAAGCCCGGTTTGTTGTTAGCTATGTTAGCATTTTTAGCCAAACAATCCTTTTTATCATAAGATAGGTTCTGCCATCGACTTCATTTGCACAGAATGTCCTTAATGTATAGGCTAGCTGCAGCACCAGTGCTAATCAAAGAGGTTTCCGTTCAGAAGATGTCTGGAAACTGTGTGAACGTTATGTTACGTACAAAGTTCTAATGCAATTTTAGAAATGTGAGGAAACTATTCACAACAGAAATCTAATGAAAAGATACTCTATTTATGCTAGGTTAATATTTAATATGAAAAAGCCTATACTATAAAAACTTCCTATATTATTTATTTGAGGACGAGCAGAATGTCAAACAGATATGCGCAAACTTATATATATATATTGTGGTGGTGGTGGTGGTGGTGGTGGTGTTGGGGGGGTCATGACATAATATTTTATTATTTTTAAATGGTTATATTTTCTAGTTTGTGATCTCAGAGTTTTCAGCAGGCTATTAATTGTGATGTTACTGTATTAAAATTTACTGTATATTCTGCAACTAATAACTGACCACTTAATCTAATCAGATCACCTCCACCTCTTTCCTGTACACTGTCCACTTTTGACAATCATTCGATTAGATTTGCATTTATTGGAGTATTTTTATTTTTCCAAACCACAACACTGACACAGACAACAAGCAATCCATCCCTTATATAAATTATTGTATGTCCGCTAATATCAAAGAACCATAAGCCGCTTTTCCGCTGTATGGTACTTGCTCGACTCGACTCGACTCGACTCGACTCTACCTGACTCTACTTTCTTTTTTTTGGTTTTCCACTTGGTCAGTCTGGTACATTGTACCTGTTATCGGGTAGTATATTTGGTACCACCTCCGTTGAGGTTCCAAGCAAGTTGAGCTGACACCAGGTGACGTAAAAATGCAACAGACTACCGATTGGTTGGAGAGAATTGCTAATCATATACGCTAACGCTAGTTACCAGGTTAGCGTTCCCTCTTGCGTCGCCTTTGAACAATCAGAGTTGTTTCGTCGTCTGAAGTCTGATGTAGTATTTCCCAAACTTTCCTGGTTTTTTAGCAGTATTTTATCATGCTGCCATCCGGCTTTTCTGAACAAACAATTGTCTCTTTCACGTCTCGGTAGTTTCATGTGACGTTGCTATGATGACCAGCAACATTGAGGGGGTACTCTATCTGGAGCAGAAAACAAAGTAGCTGGTAGAGTCGAGCTGGAATGTGCTATGCAGTGGAAAAGCAGCTATAGAACAGTAAGTTGAACAGTGAATGATCAACAGTAGTCAAAGGTAGTGTTGTATCTATATTATTGTTACTTTGTTTGTTTAGTTTCCTGGTCCGAACCTGAATATTTTCTATTGTTCCTTTGCTGTTGGTAGCCTATGAGAGAAGTATTAGTAAGTACAGATGTTCTTAGTGGAAGCTGGCGATGCTGTGAAGTTTTGTTTTTGTCCCTCGATCTGCTGTATGAGCTGTTCATCTACTGACTTTTCTCCCTTTTTGTATGTTTACTTAAACACTTTTCTTACCGATGACTTGCATTTTCAAGACTGGTTAAAACTGTACTTACTATACAGAGAGACAAAAACAATACCAGGTGATATGCAATTGTTATACATATTATATTTGTATAAATAAATATATATGTCTGTGTGCACAATGCTCTCTGTTGTTCCTTATGATTCTCTGTGAACCCTGTCAAAAATGGGTAAAAAAAGATTAAGGGAGGACATTGCAAATAGTGGTTATGCATACACTTTTTTCCTCCAAATGAAACAAAGGGCATGTCTGCAACTCCAAGGTCAGCCATTGCTGAGTTTTACAGTTTGACTTTGCCATTGGCCCATAAGTGACAGCCTGAACCAATGAAATCACAATGGCCCACAAGTGACAGGCTGCACTGATAACATCGGAATAGTCCACAAGTGACAGGTTGCACTGATGACATCACAGTGGCCCATAAGTGACAGCCTGCACCACTGACATCACAAATAGCCCATAAGTGACAGCCTGCACCACTGACATCACAAATAGCCCATAAGTGACAGCCTGCACCACTGACATCACGGTGGTCACTTTACACTGGCTGCTATGTGACAGGTTACACTAATGACTTCACAGTGGCCCATAAGTGACAGTTTTAATTGGAATCACACTGAAAATTCCATCATGTAAGTGAGAAGATGTCATGGGAAAAAAAAACACTTTGAACTGCTTAAACTGTTTTTACTTTAAACTTAATATTTCAAAAATTATAAATCTAATCAGCAAGATTAATTAACTTCCCAGCCATTTTGTCAGAACCCCCTCTCTTATAGCTCCACCTTGCTGGTGTACAGACAAATAGGGACTGTAGTCTGTCTGCTAATGCACAGTTTTTGTTGAACCCCTTGAAATTACCTACACTATTGTATAAATTCATCTTAAAATATGGTCTGCTTTTTATCTTCATCAAGTTGCAATAAAGAACAAACACAATCGGTTTAAACTAATAACACAAGAAAATGTATTGTTTTTGTCTGTACTGAATACATCGATCAAACATTCACAGTGTATATTTGAAAAAGTAAGTGAACCCCTAGGCTAATGATTTCAACAAAAGTTAATTGAAGTCAGGAGTTCAATGAAATGAGATTGAAAGTGTGGGTTAGAGCTACATTGACTTAAGACTACTAAAAACTACTCAAACATTCTGAGTTTGCTATTCACAGGAAACATTTGCTGACATGAACCATACCTTGCAAAAGAAGGGATCAAAGAAGACCTATGATCAATAATTGTTGATTTGCAAACATTTGGAAAAGGTTACAAATTAATTTCAAAGAGTTTATCAATCTACAGACAAACTGTCTATACATGGAGATGATTTAGTACTGAGGCTATGCAAAAGTGAGCGCCCAGTTAAGATCACTCCAAAGGCACAACGCAGAATGCTAATTGATGTAATAAGAACTCTAGAATAGCAACTAAAGCCTTAAAGACATATTTGGAACTGGTTAACATCTCTGTTTATGAGTGTACTATAAAAATAAAACCTGCCCTTTAGAGTGGCCCAGCCAGAGCCCAGACATTAACCCCACGGAGACGCTGAGGACGACCTTGAGAGCAGTTCAACACCAGACATCTGAAGAACATGGCTGAGCTGAAGCAGTTCTGTAGGGAAGAATGGTCCAATGTTCCTCTTGAACGTTGTGCAGGTCTGATCCACAGCTACTGGAAGCGCTTGCTTGAGGTTACTGCTGCCAAAGGAGGTTCGACTAGTAACTGAATCTAAGGGTTCACTTACTTTTTCCAACAGCACTGTGAATGTTTAATTGGTGCGCACAATAAAGACATGAAAGATTATAATTGTTTGTGTGTTATTTGATTTAGCGAATCGTGTTTTTCTGTAGCTGTGACTATAATGAAGAACAGATCACATTTTATAATGAATTATTGCAGAAAAAAGGTTTGCATACTTTTTTTCGCCACTGTATATAGCAGATTTCTCATGTACTGGCATTCCCCCCTCTTATACCAAATGTAGTCAATCAGCCAAGGCAAGTTTGCTGCTTTAGTTTTGTTCAGGAGCTTCAAGGCTAACAAGTAATGGTGACACTTTATTTTTAGTGGTCCTTTTTAGATTGAACAAACACTCAAAGGACTCACAGTAACATGTCAAAAACATATGAGGGTTGGGATTAGGTTTTGGGTCGAGGTTAAGGTCAGGGTTAGGATTAGGTTTTGAGCTGAGGTTAAGGTTAGGGCCAGGGTTAGGGTTCGATTTTGGGTAAGATTGGGTAAGGTTAGGTTTTGCATAATGAAAGTAAAATATTAATAACACATCTACTTAATGTAAGTAATGAATCAACAGAACATCTACACTATATTTACTTCAGTGTATTCACTGCTACTGCTACTTCACTGATATGCTGTTGATGTGTTACTGATAATCTGTTAAGAGTTTATTAATCACAAAAGAACTCTCCAAATAAAGTGTTAACCAAGTAATGAATTAGCATGGTGCTAACTGCATGCCTAAATCGTCAAACACATGTCTCACACTCTGTCATGTTGTTAAGTAAGTTCAAATAGACTTGCTTAAATGTCCTCTGGCACGGTATGACACTTCTTTGTCTACTTTTATAGATAACAGCATGCCACACAGTAGTAGCAGCTATCTTGAAGTCTGAGTATTTGTTTTTTAACCCTCTTTATAATGTTAATAGTTAAATTACTTATTAGATTAGTCCAGGTGAGGCCAATACTGAGACTTAAACCAACACTCACTGGACCTTGAGAATGAGGAGTTAATTTCTGAGGCACTGCAGTGAGGCATTAAAACCCATATGAAATCTGATATATGACCATATATGTACATATATTGTTAAGGGTTATATATTTCAAAATAAATGGTCATATATGTAGTGTACATATATGTAAGTATCAAATACTGAACATACATGCATTATATATGGATCATACATGTGTGTCTAATAGGTGGGTGGGTGAATACATGCAGAAAATATGGATTATACATACAATGTAGGTTCAATATCTTTCTGATACAAACACCAAAAGATTTTTAAAGCAAAAAAATCAAAATGAAAAGCAAAAAAATATGTAAATAATGTTTTCTATCATGACTTTACACATATGTGTTTGTACATGTTGCAATAAACGTCCCATATATGAATATGGCTAATTTCAAAAAAGTTGGCATATATGTCACATATATGTCCACAAAGGACAAAATCTAAGTTAGATATAAGAGAAGTTCTTATATGCTAATATATGTCGCATATATTTGACGTGTATATTCCCATGTCAGATTTCTGTATGGAAATACATCAGCATGTTAACTCTTTCCCTGAGAAACTGAATAAACATGCCTAATGCAGAAAAGAGAGAAGTATAAGTAGATTTCAGTTTTACATTTCGCAGCAGAATAATTACTACTGCATATGTTAATGGTAAAATGTGTTCAGTGTAGCGACATATGTTGATTGAGTTGGATTAAGCACTTTAGTATTCCAATATCTCAATTCTGCTATCAGAGGAATCAGGGCTTGCTATTTTATTTTTTTTTTTACCAGATTCATTTTCTGATATGAACTGAAGTGTGTGATATTTTAACGCCTCATTAGGCTTCCATCTTCTCTAATCTACTAACTGGAGTGCTGATACCAATTCAAGGTCTCAAGTGACACTGAAACTAAAGAAATGAAAACAGTGGGACAGTTTAAAACCTTTTGCAGAAGCTTTCAAAGTAAACCCAGCTACCTTTTCACCTCAGTTTTTTTGCTACTACTTGTCTCAGAATGATGTTTTAGGCCGCACTAAAACCAATAAGACTCCTTCCCACGTTTCCCACACCTCCTTTGGGTTTGAGAAACACAGTTTAGGTCACGCCCGAATGACCTTTCGGCTTTTGTTCGTGAGGCTGAATGCTAAATGTTAAAGCTGTTATTTCTCCCACCTCATTCTAATGTCTGGGTTGTTTTGTGATTCATTGTACAGTATACAGAAGATGCTGCAGTATAATGCTGTGCAATCTGTGTAGGCTCATGAAATGACAGACAAATAAACAAATACTAGCAGAGTGGGTGTAGTGCATAGAGAATGCAGGCTGTGTCCACCCGGTGGCCAAAACTAGTACTGCATGTTTTATGATTAATGTTTCTGATGTTGCCAGTGGCAATTAAGCAACTTGACTGAGCATGAAAGTATGTAATTAAGACAATTTCCACTAGCCAATGAGTTTCAGTTCTTGAAAGAAAAGATCTTCTCTCTGGCTGATATATGGCTACACAAACGACAGATGGAACTAGAAGAGGCAAACTTCTAGAAATTACTAGCTTGAGTACATAAGAACATAACTCAAAGTACATAACTAGTTGGAAAGCAAGAAGTTTGGTTGAAGCTGGAAAATTCAAGGGGTTCCAAAATGAATTACTTTTAATGGGAGAATGGAGAAAATGAATGATAGTAGGTAGGTGTTAGTGATAATTCCTGTAGAGGAGAGTAGTTTAGTGTTCACTGTACTGTTTCTTAAGCTAGATGGAGCCTGTGGATGATTGGCAGGCTGATCTGATGACATCACAAAGGCCTATAAGTTCCAGAGTGCACAGCTAACATCCCAATAACCTGTAAGTCACAGGCTGCTCTGATGACATCACAACAGACCATACTTGACAGGCTGCACTGATGAGACCACAATGAACTACAAGTGACAGGCTACAGTGATGGCATCACAATAGCTCATCATCAATAGGTTGCATAGATGACGTCACAATGACACAAGTGACAAACTGCACTGATAACTTTATAATGACCCATGAATGACGGGCTGCACCTGGTGATGTCACAACAGCCCAAAAATGACCGGCTGCACTGATGACATCACTATGGCCCATAGATATCAGGCTACTCTAATGACATTGCAATAGCCCATGAGTGACAAGCTTCGCAGATGACATCACAATGGCCTATAATCAACAGGCTGCACAGATGACATCACAATGACTTATAAGTGACAGTCTGCGCTGATGACATCATAATGTCCCAAAGTCAAGGACTGGCTGCATTGATGACATCACAGCGGCCTGTGAATGACAGGCTGCACTGAACATTTCACCGTGTAAATATATGGTAAGAATAGTACATCTAATCTGTACTATTTAAAAAACTACAAGAAAAATCAACATGAAAAGCAAAAGCAATCAACTCCTCTATAGTAAGAAGACTTGGCTTTGGTGGCTGTATCTTACAAGCTGTTGAAGAAGTGGAGAAGAACAAGAAGCAGAGAAGCAAGATGATGGAGAAAACAGCAAACTGGTGGCTTTTTTAGGCTAATGTAACAAGTGCAACTCCACTGTGGAAAATGCCTCAGTGCACAGTGAGCTGCAGCAGGATGGCTAACTGAAATAATATAACAGCTGATATTCCTGCTATACCTCTGAGATCTAACACAGTGGAAGACGCAATCAAAGCTCTTCACATCCTTCTCAAAACACCACACACACACACAGCACCTTGAAGTGTCAGCACAAAGCCATTTGTTCATAACAACGGAATTAAAGAGGTGTGAAAGATGAGTAGCATTTGTTGCATTATACTGTTACACACACACCTCATTTCCTCCTTCTCTTTCTCTTCAACACCCCATCTCATCACTCCATCATCTGCTACCTCCTTACACGTATACACACACACACACACACACACACACACCAGGTGACGACAAATGGCATGTGACTGCAGAAACCAATTTGTTGAAGTTATGCCAATTCACGCTTACTGAGAGACAAGAAACACCTTTTTAAAAACAACTTTTATTTCCTTGTTTAAAGTGATTATTAAATACAGTTCTTTGACTACTCATACTTGAGACACAGTCAAAAAAGGAAAAGAATTTAAATATGATACAATGACTTTAACTGAATGCAGTAATGGTAAATTAACATACATACAGTATTTACAAAACTTATTTACAACACAGGGCAACGTTCACTTTACTGTCTCTATATTAGCCCTTCATTTAAAACTTACTGGAAATGTCACTGTGCAAGCAAGGCATAATGACAAAATAAGGCTGATGTACAGTCACAAACAAAAGTTTGAACACCTCTGGTAAAATGACCTGTTGTGCTGAATTTTCTTAGTGAAAATAAATTTACACATGCTCTACAGAGAACACACTTAAATATGGCATGTTTGTGCACATTGTGGTGCACAATTTCAACGCTGAGTTGAACATATTCCAAAAAAATAAAACATAAAATGTGCCATAACACAGGCCACATTTGGTTTCGTTTTCCAAATGTCAAATTCAGCACATAGTAAGTGTGCTTTAAAATGTGCAGAAGTGTGTTCTCTGTAGAGGGTATGTTAACTTATTTTCAGCCGGGGCGCCCAAACATTTGCATATGACTAGGTTTGCCTTTTACTTAGCCAGAACATTTTTTTTACTGAGATTGTCCTACATGAAAGATTTTATGTAGAGTGTACAACAGCAACAGCCATGAGAAGAGTGTATATAAATGCCAACATTATATTCGCATGGTGATTGTTAGGATCATGTGGTGTCCTGGAGTGTCTCTCTCTCTCTCTCGCTCTCTCTTTCTCGTGCTCTTGCTTTCACAGGATGTGATAGATGGGTCTGTTGCCTGGACTGTCTGGAGTGCTGGACTGGGAATCGCTGTGTGTTGGTGAAAGGGCCTCCATGTTCCTCATTCCAGAAGCAATCCCAGCGTCCACTGAGGAAAGCCTGTCCACAATACTGGACAAACACTGCAGACTGGACGCTCCGACGGCCCTTTCCATCCCACAAACTGGAAAAACAAGAGAGAGAAGTTTGAAATGGTCAGGGGTCAGAAAGAACTGATGTTGATGCTTGTTAAGAACATGTTTAGAGGGCAGCTGTCATTAATGTTTGTTTATTTGAGCTGTTTCTGCCTTCACTTGGAAATTCTCCTCTATCTTTGCTGACACTTTAAGTTGAAGCTAACATTACTGGAAAACGTATAGAAACACAATTTAGTGAAACATTTACTCTTCCAGATGAGGATAATCACCAGTAAACACACCAGATTGGAGACTAAAATGGTGTGCTGACATGTTGATTGCTATTTTTAGAATTAGCATCTAAGTTAACATTTTGGCAAGCTAGCTAATGCAAACATTATTAGCATGTATATTAGTGACTGAGATTGCAATTCAACGTGGTTTGAGGCAAGTGTGTAATAATTTATACATGCATTTGCTACTGTTAAATGTGTGCTAATAAGCATTCATTACTTGTTAGCTACATTAGCCTCATAGCTCCCGTGCTAAACTAAAGAAACAAACTTCATGTCCTGGCTGGTCGACAACATTTGGGAGAATTGTATACATCTTGCCAAAATTTCACTTTAAAACAAAACTTTAAATCAAACTTTAGATCTGCCAACTTGAGCTAAAAGAAAAAGAATGAACAAAACTTACTGCTTTGGGCGTTGTAGCTATACGAGCTGCTGGGGTTCAAATTCATCTGAGACCAGACGGGACTGCTGCAGTCTGTCTGTAAGGAGAACAGAACAACATACTATTCAGTTTTGCGTGATATCCAAACATGCACTGTAACAACAAGGCCATTCTCTACACTACAAAAAGTCAAAAGTCTGAACACACCTTTAATGAAGTGTTTTCATAGTTTTTTTCACAGTTTTTTTGCATTTTATAACACATATGGAATTATGCAGTGGGCAGAAAAGGTTTAAAACAAATCCAAACTGTTTTTTTCAGATTCTTTTAGAAAGCAACCCTGCTTGGCCTCAGTGCAGCTTTACGCACTCTTGGCAGTCTCTCAAGCAGCTTCAGGAGAAGCCACCTGAGATGTTTTATTGGCAGCACTGAAGAAGATACATACTCACTTCATGCTGGCTGAGAAACACTTGTTGGGGCCCATTTTATTGAGAATTTTCAGTTTGGAAATGAATTCATAGAGAAGCATCAACTTCACTGATTTGTCCAATAGCCTATCAAAATGTCTTTTGAACATATATTCATGTCTTGACTGGGACTGTATGTATACTGGATCTAGATACATTAGCCAGTTTCTCATGTTCCTCGTCTGTTGGGTCGCTGTTTCTTTATTTCATGCCCCCCCTTACTCCCCACGAGGAACTCCCACGCTATGCTGGGCTCCAGGCGTGCCGAATCGATCGTTTGAGTGAAAAGCACACCGGCCCGTGCAAGACGATGCTCTGGCTAGAGTAAATGTGCAGAAAATCCTGGCAGGAACAGAGCTCAGGCAGTGAGCTCAGAGAGGAATGCAGCTCCGCTTAGGCTTCCCTGCCTGCCTGCCCAGCCTGGATTAGCTCAGGCTTTATTAGGCTGTAAAGAGCTGAGTGGGAAAAGCCAGCCGTCATCCGCCATTTAAAAACGTCTTAAATCACTAATGTCCCAAGAAGCAACATCTTGGAAAACTATTGGGCCAAATAAACGGCTAAATGACTCAGATTAGGCCAAAATCATGTTTGAGAAACAAAAGTTGAAGACGTGTTAAATTAACTCCTTACAGTGCAAGCCAGGTTGAACTATTAATATTAAGACTTATTATACAGTGATTACTATGAATTACGCAGTAACCACTATGAATGATTCATTGTCTACTATGAAATGTTTAGCATATTCTATGAATTCTTTAGTATCTACTATGAATTATTTAATATCTACTACAAATGATTCAGTAACCACTATGAATTTTTTAGCATCTACTATGAAAATGTTTTTAATCTGCTAAGAATTACTTAATATCCACTACAAATTACTGAACAACTATTATGAATTATTTAGTAACTAATATGAAATAATCTAATATCAAATACGTCTAATATTCCATATCACTACTAATTAAAAGCCCTCTATTGTATCATGGCTATAGACAGAAGGTTAAAAAGCCACCCCAGTGTGTTCCAAAAGGCCTTCATCAGTAAGAATCACCCTCTTCCTTCCTTTGGATCGCTTCCCAGCCCCCATAAAGAAGCAATGCAAGAATAAAGACAATTTGGACGTCACGCTAATAAAATCTGCCTAAGCCTTAAGAGACCAGACAAGAAGCAGTAAGCTAATATGTTGGCGTATAAGAGGAGACAGATGTGGGCAGCGATTTATTATAGACACTCTGAGGGAGAGACAGCTATACACTCGCAGAGATAGAGACAGAGAGAGACAGACAGAGAGAGAGAGAGAGAGAGAGAGAGAGAGAGAGAGAAGCTCAGTAGACTGTATGAGTGTGTATTTCACAGAGATACATAGACATATACCTATAAGCTGAGTTCAAAGGTCAGTGATCTCAGTCCTGGAATTGCCACACTGATATAAGGGATTCAAACGTGTACATCATACAGCCATATGCAAATGTTTTGGCACTCCTAGTCAAATAACATGTTTTGTTGATTGAAGTGGAGGCAACACATCCTTTACAGAGAACACATTTTTACATATTTCAGTGTACAATTACTGTTTATTTTCTGAATTTAACATATTGGAAAAAATATATATATCTCAAGTATGTCCTGTGCAAAAGTTATGGCACATAGAGGGTATGTTAACTTATTGTTCTTAGAAAATCAACAAAACATGTCATTTGACAGGGGAAGTTTAAACTTTTGCAAATTACGTAATGCGTTAAACACCACTTTCACCACTTTAAAGATTTTTTTAACATGATATACATATATTAATGGGTTTTACACATACAAGAAATATCAGTGCCATATTATGATTAATATCACCTTCATGAGATAAATAAAAATGTGTTATCCATTATTTGTCAGCTGTTATTCTTTTCAACTTATTATATCTAAAAGTCCTACACTTTTTTTTTCTTTAGTTCATGTGGAAATATTATTATTTTGCATCTCTGGAAGGCTCGTAAATCTTCTGTGTCCAGGCTATGACTAGAACAGTGCTTGGTTTTGCAAAGTTTAGCGTTTTCCTTAAAGTTATGGTAAAGAAAAGCGTGAAACTAGGCAATGTAAAGAAGTATGGTACGGTCTTAAAGACATTCAGTTAGAAACATTTTCAAGATCATACCATAGGTCCAGTCGATTCACAACTTCTAAAAACCACAGCATGTGGTCATATCACTCTACTTAACTGCACATTTATGAAGAATATTATTAGAATTATAAGAACTACGTTTACTTATGCCACATATGCAGTCAATTGGAGTTTCTTCATAATCAGCATATTTGAAGCTGCAATTGTAATATGGTATTTTCAGTACACAAGCAAACCACCCCCACGGTTCATTTTTGGGGGTATTTTCATATCGTCTTTGGAGCGAACCATAGCAGCTTTGTGGTTCGTGTATCAATAATGACTGAAAGTTGGAAAGAAAAGTTAGAAGTGCTACAGCAGCAGATCTCTAGCCAGATCTGCTTCTTAAATCTGCTTTGGTCATATCTAAAAAGTGGTTGTTTTAAACTTGTTTTAAAGTAGTATTATTAATGATGCCAACAAATCACAATTCATGACTATCCGGTGCCCACCTAACGATTTACATTGTGATAGAACAGCGTCATGTCTCTGGTGCATGCAGGTCGGTGATAGGTGCAGAGGAAGCTAGCAAAATGGACAAATTTCCAGTAAGCCAAGTGTGCGATGGCACATACTCTACTCAAAAATGTTGAGAGCTGCTGTGCTAGAGTATTTACATTCACTGTGTTGTCATTGCGAGAAAGTTTAATATTGAAGTATTTATATTTACCATGCTGTCAGAGCACGTAGACGATGGACTGGGTGGTTCGGAGCTGCTCTCTGTGGGCAGGCTGTAGTATTCCGCCACTTGCTCCCTCAGCAGCTCCTGCAGGCTCTCGATGTACTGGATGGCGTTCCTCAGGATTTCCACCTTGGGCAGCCGTTGGCTGGGGTTGGCCGAGGTGCATCTTCGGAGCGCCTCAAAGGCGTGGTTGACCTTCTTCAGCCTGCGCCTCTCCCGCATGGTGGCCGCTCTGCGACGGTCTACACTGCTGGCTTTGCGCTTGCAGGCTTTGCAGGCCCACTGAAGGCAATGGCCAGGCTGATGGAGGCCCCCAGGAGCTCGAATGTGCTCGTCTTCCTCAGATCCAGCAAGTTCACCTGAATGACCAAACTCCAGAGCCTCAGGAGAAGAGGCACAGAAGGCTTGGGTTGGGCAGAAAACATCCATTCTTAGGCCAGGGGAGTTTTGGAGGAAAAACTGGAACGTTGGTAATCTCTTGGAGAGAAAATTAGCTAACCTGTAAAAAGAGCTTGTTGAAGGTAGTACCCTCTGAGAAAAGAGGTTGAAATGAAGTAGTAACCTCAGACTGATGTAAAAAGAGGTTGTTGAAGCTGGCAGCTTCAGAGTGAGGTGTAAAGGCTGCTGCCATTCGACCTCTTCTTATAGGAGCTTGTCCTACAAGCCTGGGCCCACATTGGCCAGCTGTGATGACCATACCCCATTGGCCCAAAGCAAAGGGTGAAATCAGCGCCTCCCACCCCCCAACATTCTCCTCCACCCCAAACCCTCACCCTCCTCACCCCGACTCCTGTCTACACCCTGTGGAGTTTCCCACATCTGCATGAAGGAGTGGTTTCTCATTTAGCTAAAACAGCTTCCTGGTGTGATGGACCTAGCAAGAGGGTTTTATCATCAATAAGAGCAAAAATTAGAAACACTCGTTTTCATATTCATTGTTTTTTTCTTTATTGTGACTTTAATATACAATAAAGTGTGCATATATTTGGCCCACTTGTGATGAGAGCAAATATAGTTTAGAACCATATCTGAAAGTTTTTACAATGGAGATTTTTAATATACTTTGCAGTTTATGTCCATTTCCTTAATAGCCACAAACTAACACTAAAGTATTTTGGAATATATTTTGAGCAAGAGCAAAAACTGAGAGACTTTGAACTTGAATTATTATTTTATTAAATATATTTTATGAGCCCTGACAGAAAATATTTTGGACTAAAAATGCCAAATACTAATATACACATCATAATTATTCTTTATTTTGTGTGATTTTAATAAACAATACACTGTATGCCCCTGCAGGCCTAACTGTACTAGGCCTAAAGAAGTTACATACTTTATATTATGTTTATATATTATTTTCTTTTTTGTATTTCTGTCATTAATATTAATTTTTTGTGAGCCTTTTTTATTTTTGAATAATACACACAAAAAGAGATAGCATACAAATACAAATAGTGACCAATTCTCTCTCATTGATTCACAGTTGTGGCCCCAGCTGCACGGGGGGCGCTATAGAGCTGCAGGGCTCCAGGAACTGAAGGAGCAGAACTGCTCATGGAGGTGTGAAAACTGGCAGAACAGTGTTACTGAAAGCCCATTAAATTACTTAATAGGTCATTAACAATCACGTGTGACAAAAAAACAAAAATATATATATAGTATCACATTAAATTACAACATTTCATTGAACTAAAAACAGAGAAATTCTTGTATGACACTTGATTCACTATGTTGGTGCATGAGAACACATGAGGCTAAACTACTGGGCAGTGGTGTTACAGGTCATTATTTAGGCTTTCTGTGTTGATGGCTAATACAGACACAATGCAGATACAAGTTTTAATTGAAGCTCATTAGAGTGTGAAGTAAAAGGTTACCAAGTAGAGCTTTTTGCTTGATTGAAATTTTTGCTTGAATGAGGGTTAATAGAGAGCTAATTTGAACAGTTGTTCAGCTATGAAGGGTGGAATGCAGATAGCAGTGTTACTTCAAGCAAATTAAGTTAGTTAAGGGGTAATTAACACTCATGTGTGATGTAAAATGCACATTCGTATGCAAACATGTGAACATCTTCAGTCAAATTACATGCTTTGTTGATTTTCTCCTGTAGACAAGAAAACCAAAAATCATGCTATTTGACTAGGGGTGCACAAACATTTGCTTATGACTGTATCTGATCTGGAATACTGGGCAAACAACAGACCTACTAACTCTGTAAGAGTTATTTTTAGAAGATTGCATTTGTTTGAATTTCCTGAAATAAGACTTAACAGAGAACTCATTTGAAGCCAATTAGCTGACTCAGTGAACAGTGGAGGTCGTTACTTGTGGTCAGCGTTGACAGCGAGTAAGGATACAGTGTGGGTATCTCTCCCAGTGTGTTAAAAACGTTTGTGTTCCGCAGCTAAGCAAACACAGGCAGTAGCTCGCGCTGTAGTTTGAATTGCGCACAGCTGAAGAAGACATGGACAGGGGGATAACGCTCTTTAACTGAGCCGGGGATCAAAGGCCATTGACTGTGGACAACACAGACAACGAGAAAACCTGCCAGGATGAGTGAGTCTAGCCGAGATAGCATAAGCACATGTTGAAAGCACATTGCTCCTCTGAGGCTCTTGCAGACCTGTGGTGAGATGTGTAGAGTAGCTGTGGTCTCCTGGGAAAGCTGCAGTGTGTTTTTTCTCGCTGGCCCCTGGAGGATTGTAGTTAGGGGTCAGGGACCGTGTTAAGTGCAGGGCAGCAGGGGCTTCTTTAGTGTTCAACTCCACAACTTTCTCATTTCCGCAGACATAGATGTCAGGGCTGTGTGATATGGATTATACCGCTGCACATTTGCAGTGTGTGCTTCCTCACTCATCTAAAGCATCGTGATGGACATGATGATGTTATCATCAATAACAGCAAAAAAGATGCTCATAAGAGAAGTTCAGTGTGTGTACTGAGTGTACTGTAACACCAAATACATACAAACACAAACAGCAACATAATGTCATTGCTGCCAAAACAAAACCTTGTATCTCCAAAAAAGTAGGAAAAAACACAAAAACTTTCAATGTAAGTTAATGGAAAAATGTTTTATTGGTTCTTTTGTCAGGGAATTTTCACATGGTGTGAAAAGCAGCTGGCACTTTCAGATTATGTGTGAAAAAAAGACAAAATTGGAGATACAAGGTTTTGCTCTGACAGCAACAATATTTTATACTAGGAACAGTGAATGTGGCTAGTGCAAGGATGAAAGTTGTTAAGTTAGGGAGTGGGTGGAGTTTAGTGAGAGAGTGGGTGGGTGGGTGCTTGGGTGGGCATCCTGACAGGCAGGAAGAAGCTGCTGCAAAATATAAAATCTGCTACAGGTACTAAATGATCAAAAGATCATCTTGCAACATTTGCACCAAAATAACGGACTGTTGTTGGATTACATAAATATGCTGATTCATCGAAACACCCTCAGAAATGTATCTGGAACTGTGATTGGTTAGAGGGCTCATTTGCATAATACAGCTTTCTGCGACATTCGTATTGCAAAGGCCAGTATCGCGATACCAATTAACAAATAACATATTGTGCAGCCATAGATGATATCGATGTTTGCTTAACTATTTTATTCAAACTATTTTGAAATCTGTTACAGACTGCATCGGTTGAAGAACCTAAAACAGAGTGAGAGCCTAAAAAAATGAGCGCCTAAAATCATGACAAAAAGCATTTTGTTTATCGTTTGTTACAGCTGACGTGCTATCAGAATGTTGTTTTGATCAGAGGTATGGCCTCAGACACAATGCAGACACAAACACAACAAATGCCTTCTGTTTGGTTATTCTTACAAATTTAACATCTGAGTCTCGCCTTTGTAGCGATAGTTTGCCAAAGCCCCCCCCACCACCGCCCAACCCAAATATAGTCACTCCGCCAGGATGTATTAGGTGTTAGTTTGCTTCATTAGTTTTAGCTCTGGAGTTCTGAGCAGGGTTGCCAGATTTCAGCTGTGGCAAAACCAGAAGAGTCAGGTTTGGGATGGGATGTGGTGGTGTTGGAGGAGGTGTTCACCAAGCAATAAGTCACAAGTATGGAGCATTAATATTGCACCATTTAAATTGTGAAATAAAGTCAAAGTCACCAAGAAAGTATAGAAAGTATTGCAGCACCTATACAAAGAAGAACCACAGGAAATACTGCACATGTGGGCAAATGCTCTTTTACTAAACAGGCAGGAAGAGAGAACCCAGCGCTATTTAGTGGGCTGGGAAAGTAGACAGGTCACTTCCAGCCATACGCTTTCTTTTTACAGTAGGCACTAACACTGACACCAGCTACTCTACAGCCCAACCTGAACAATAGCAACATGAACATTTAATACTGGCTCCCAAGAGCCTCTTTGCATATCTACATATCTGCATGGCCACGCCTCCCGTGCTCATATGGCAGCATGACCAGTGGAGGAACACCACAGTATAGAAAGTATAGAAAGCAAAGTGTATAAAGAAAAATGTTTTAGTACAGCATATGTGGTTTGATTCACAGACACAGAACAACCCCTCCCTGCAAGAAAGAAACAGAGGGAGAGAGAGAGAGAGAGAGGGGGGAGAGAGAGAGAGAGAGAGAGAGAGAGAGATGCAATAACAGGGCTAAAACTGCACTTAATCTACGTAATATGCTTCAATGCATATAAAATAAGGCTTGACCATGTTTTTTATGTGAGTGGACAGAACTGGACAACGGAGCTGAAAAATGGACAGTATGGTCCAAAACCTGACACCTGGCAGCCCTAATTACAAGGCTATTGTAGCTAACAAGTGATAGAAGCTTATTAGCACAGTAATTAGCACGCTAACTATGGTAAGACCCTAGAGTAATGTTATTTCATTCCAGTATGTGCTTGTATATGGATAGAATAGCATCAAAGTTCTTGTTGGCTCTCAACTTCATATGCTGTCGCCTAAATCGGAAAAAACAAGAGACAGAAATGTTCTCCACCTCCGTTTGACCCCCTCTCTCCAAAGCCTCTTTTTTGCTAAGACCGACTATTGGCTGCATTTTTCTCCTCTGCAATAACAGGATCATATTAGATCACATGATCTGATTGGATGATTGGCAGCAGCATTTGTCTGGCAGAGTGAGGAAGTGTCCTGCCAGCTCCAGTCCAGCAAAGAATCACCTCGGAGCAGGACACACACAGGCACGGCAGTAAATCACCACTTTTCTCTTCCTATTCCAAATCATCTTTTCATCAGCCTCCACTGTGTAAATGCTCGACACGGTTTGACCTGATTACGAACTGTTCCACCTGATTAGAGACAAATAAATGATGAAATTCAACTTACATGCAGTTATGGAAGTAAGTGGTAACAATAATTATGATAGGTTGAACTTTTTGTAACAAATGTTTGTAATAAATTAACACCATTTTTAACAATTTCTTCATAATTTAGTGGTTGAGATGTAAACAAAGTCATTCAGAGTGGTCTTATGTGAAATGGTTAATTGTAGAGAAATATACTGGTGATGGGAACCAGAGGACTTGATATCTACAATACATACAAGAAACGCTGAAATGACATGACTAACAGTCTTCAGAGTTTTGTAATGTTGATGATGGTAAAGTAGTGGTAGATCTGAACAAATATGTTTTTGGGGGCTATTTTGCCTTACAACACGTGTGTATCTTTCCAGCATTTTAAAATCAGTTTAAGACCAAACCGGCTCAAAACTATTATGAAATAATGTCTATAACATCAGACAGTGTATTAATAACAATTTCATGAACAACCACAT